AGGCCTGAGAAGGAAGCACAGACTGTTGCCTGAGAGGTGCCCAACTACCTAATTTCACTCAGTGAAATTCTGTCTTAGTTGCTCCTCCATCCCCATCTCCTTAAGAAGTTCATCCCACAAATTCCTTAGCTTTTGAGAATTTTTCAGAATAAAAATTTGCTAGTCCACTTGCTTCAATTTGTAGTTTAAATTTTGTCATTTGCACGTCTTTTAAACCAGAATAAAAGAGGAAAGGATCCTCTGTCTTTTGTTAGGAATGATTATACATGTACAGTAATCAAGATAAGGTGGTACTGGCAGAGTAATAGACACACAGATCAACGAAACACAAGAAAGAACCCAGAAATAAATCTATACAAATAAGCCTAAATGATTTTAACAAAGTTACAAAAGCCATTCTATCAGCATAGGCAAAAAACCCAAAATGAAACAAAACAAAAAACAACTTCGAACTACATCTCACATAGTTTACACAAATTAACTAAAAATTATTCATGAACTTAAATATAAAACTGTAGCAGTTTCAGAAGAAAATATGAGAAAATTTTGTAACCTAATAGAGGACAAGAGGTCTTACAGGTGACCCTCCCCTGCCGCACAATTCATTAAGGAAAGAATTGATAAACTGAATCTTATTAAAGTTCAAAACTTTTTCACTGCAAAATACCCTCATATTGGGATGAAATTAAAGTTTTATAAATATAAAAATATGTTTAAATACATATGTGATAAAGATCTTGAAAGTTAATAATCTAATAAGAAAATGGGGTAAATAACAGATATTTCACAAAAGAATGCAATAATAAAAAAATCACATGAAAAAATGTGAAGTCAAACACAAAATTAAAACCTTAATCTTCCAGACTGGATAAATTTTTTTTCAAAAGTGACCTATTGTGGAGAAACTACGTTTCATACATTGCTGGTGGGTTTGCCCAATGATAGAGTAATTCCAGAAAAGAGTCTGGCAGTTTCTCACAATTTACACTTACACTACATCTCAGAAATCACACCCTTAGGTATTTATTTCAGAGAAATAAAAACTTATGTTCACACAGAAACTTGTCCATGAATATCTGTAGCAATTTTGCTCATAAGAGCAAAGAACTTGAAACAATATAAGTATATCTTAAAGGGTAATTGGTTAAACAAACTCCTGCCCATCCCAACAATGGAATTCCATTTGGTACTAAATAGAAATGAATCTTGATATATCCAACAAGCCAATTTGATCTGTGGCATTATATTTAACTTTTAAAAAGGCAAAAATCAAAAGGTCACATGCCTTTTGGGTCCATCTATATCAACACTCTTAAAAGGACAAAACTGCAAAGATGGAGAAAGGATTAGTGGTTGCCAGGAGACAAAGAATGGGCAGTGTGTGCAAATAAAAGGACAGCATGAGAAATGAAACTGTTTTGTATCTTCACTGTATGAGTGGTTAACAATTGTATATATTGAATAAAATTGCATATAACTACACAAATGAGTGCATGTAAATATGGTACAAATGGAATAAGGTCTAGGGCAATTTCCTGTTGTTTATATCATATAAAAGTTCTAATCTATAAAATCTTCTCATTAGAAAATCTTGGCGAGGGCCGGGGATTTAGCTCACATGTTCGATGGCCTGCCTCGCAAGAGCAAGGACCCGAGTTCGATCCCCAGTACCAAAAGAAAGAAAGAAAGAAAGAAAAAGACAATCTTGGTGAGGGAATGAGGATTTAGCTCAGTGGTTTCACTGCCTGCTTCACAAGCGCAAGGATGCGAGTTCGATCCCTGGTACCAAAAAAAAAAAAGAAAAGCTTGGTGAGTTGGTGAAGGATATACAGGGCAGTATAGACCTATGACTCTATAGTTACTCATGAATAAAAAGGGAGAAAAAGCTTAGACAAAGTGGATCTGCATAACTTATTAAGATGGATATAAAAATAGAAAATGTGAATGTATTTTAGCTATTAAAATATCAATCTGTAATTAAATAGCTCCTTTCTCTCAAATATACACATGAATCCAGCCAGGCACCAGAGGTTTTGCTAGTGAAATAGACAAAACACAAAAAAATGGTGCATATTTTATATAAATTATTTCAGAAAAACGATAAAGACTAACATGTAAAAATAACATGTAACTTAACCATGAGAACAAAATGTGAGAAGAAAGCAATTACATGACATTAGCTTTCATGATCATAGATTGGAAAACCCTAATCAAATATATTTAATAAGAGATCTGTCAAAAAGACAATATATTTTGGTCAAGTGGATTTACATCAGAAATCTTGCTTGTCTTTAAAGCATTTGAAAATTAACCTAATTTGCTTCATTCAGAGAATAAAAAAAAAAAGTGCTATTACCTTAATAAATGTAACATAAAATTAATAATATACAAAATTCACTCATTGCATTCTAGAAAGGGCAATTAAAATAAAATTTTAAAATTTTATTAGTGTTAAATACATTTAACTCATTTAATATCATAATTAATGGTTAAATAAAAAGACATGCAGGCTTATTATTAGCACTTTTAAAAAATATTTAATGAATTATGAGCCAGTGATATCAGAAAATAAGGATATAAATACTAAAGAGAAAAATACTATTGTCATTCTCACATAAGATTATGTATGTAAAAAATTTTTAAAATTAAATGATTTGGATATGTAAATTAGGATGTGTAAATTAGGAATGTAAATTATAAGGCCATTTAATATGTAAATATACAAAATCTGAGTTTCTATATAGCAGTGTAATAGACTAGAAATGCCTCCCAGATATTTACATAATAATTTTTGTAATCTGTGAATGCTACTTTATGTGACAAAGAGAAAGTGAGGGTCTTTGCAGATGTTTAAAAACTTTAGGATAGAAAAAACTTTTTTTTTTTGGTACTGGGGATTGAAATTGGGACCTTGAACTTGGTAGGCAGACAGCTAGAAAAATTATTTTGAATACATCAACTAAGATTTGGAGATGTTCTTGTAGAGATTGACCTGAAAATAATTAAACAAATATGGGCAATAAATAGATATGAAAATATTACAATATTTTGCAATCTTAAGGCAAACTTTTCTTTAAATTTCTAGAAAAATAACTGTCTCAAAAATGATACATTTAACATTAATAAACTGATTAATAATTAAATGATTGATAATTAATTATTAAACTTTACACCAGACAAGAACATGATGGTGAGAATGAAAAGTCAAGGCACAGAATTGGAGAAGATACTTCTAACACATATACCTAAGAGAAGACATTTACAAAGTACATTCTTCAAGTCCAAAAGAAAATGAATACACTAAAACAATATATTTCTTCCCTGAAAATAGAACTAGATTTTCATGACTTGTCATGCAAGGGACATCCAAATGTCCAAAAACCACACGAAGACGTTTGACATCATCACCTCTCTGGTAAATGCAACTTAAAGCACTAATGAGAACCTGCTGCCCAGCCAACCAAGTGCTTCGGTCAGGGGAGCTAGCCATACGGAGCTCTGATGAGGCTGTTGGGAAGTCGGACCTGCCGTGGATTACTGATTGAACTGTGAAACAGTGCACATACCTCCGAAAGAAAGTAAGCAGTTGCTTCTTAAGCAAAACATTTGCCTCTACTAAAACCCTAGCACAACCCCATTCTTAGTATAGAGCCAGGAGAAATTAACACTTATTTCCACACAAGAGGAAGATTCAAGAACATTCATAGGCCTATTCATGAAAGTCATAAAAAGAAAATAATCAATGCCTGCCAATATGAAAATAGATAAAAATTACAGTACATTTATACTGTAGAATATTTCACAGTAACGAATACAGAACAATATACTGGTACACAAGAATAGGTGGGTAAATATAATAAACACAGTACTGAATGAAAAGAGGACAGACGTCAAAGTATTTATGTTGTGCATTTCCTTTTAAACAAAATTCCAGAACAGGAAGAACCAACCTATGGCAATGCGAGTTAGAAAGCTTATTACCTATTTGGGGTAAGAATAATACAGATTGGGAGAGTAAGAAGAATTTCCAGAGAGCAGGAATATTTCTGCATCTGAATCTATTTCATACTGACATATGAGTGTACCCGTTGTAAAATTTACCAGCCTGTGTGCGGAATATTAGTGCTTGCAATCATTTTTCTTTATGAGTGTTAAACCTCTCAAAATTAAAAATAGCGAAAGAAAATTAGACGTACATATAGAATTGTATTTAATGAATTAATTTGTGACTATTTTAATACTTTCAATAGAACTACTGAAAGTTATACTTTGAGAAGAAAATCACCACAATAAGAATTTACAGTGTAAAAAATTGAGTATAAGAGTTAATGAAAATGTATAAAAAATAAAGTACATCAGAAATAAACAAAAAACCTTTTAATCTATATAGGATATTCTATTTTACTAGTAAGCAAATAAATTCAAGTTAAATAATTAAACACTCTATTTGCGATTAATGTATAAATGAATACTTTGTCTTTTAAAAAAATCCCCATTTTTTTTCCATTAAGTTTACTGGTACATTTTAGGTATACAATACAGTTACATTCATTGTTGGGATTTTGTATCTTTATGTGATGTATCTTGGTTCTTATTTTTTCCCATTCTCCTCCCCTCCCTTTATCTCCTCCAAGGGAAAAGAAAAAAATATGAAAAAAGGAAAAATGGAAATGAAGTCTTTATAAAATATTCCCATTTTTCAAAATAGGTCTGTCAGCTTGGAGATAGACAGTACAAGTGTACATTGTCATATCACATTCCTAGACACCTCACCAGCATATATGGAAAGCTTTAAAATGACACAAAAGTACAGTGTTTGACTTACTTACATAAAAACACATGTTAATTTTTACATAAACTTGATGATACAACAGATATGGGTAATTTAAATTCATTCTCTCCTTTTTATCTGAAATTCTTTGAACAGCAAGATGCATTACATTTTTAACTAAAAATTTTATTCCTAAATTCTATAAATAAGATTTGTGAAAAATTCTTACTTGTGGGTCTCTAGGTTTATTTCATCATTTTTAATATCTTCCTCCATTTCTTCTTTATTTTCTTTAAATTGCAATTTGGCATTTTCACGGTCTTCTATAGTTTGTTCAAGTTCTTCATGAACTTGTCTGAAAATTTCCATTATCTAGAAAAATAATATTTCTGGTCATATATGCAATTAAATGTTAATTTAAAGAAATTTCTTTAATTTAGGGTACTTGTAATTTGGGAGAAAGTTCTATACATACATTTTCCCCATAGTTTGTCTACTACTTGGAGAAGTACAGTTTCATGCCCTGATAGGGATCCATGATATGCATATACTTGAATATACAGATTAATATGTCCAAAATAAAATCGTTATCTTTTCACATAACATATAGCTGATTCTTTTTATTGTGAAATTAATATTTTATTGTAGAAAAATATGAAAACAAAGCTGCACTAAGAAAATCATCTGTATTCCCTTTTGCCAAGAACCACATACCATCACACTATGATAATGATCCAATATATTTAAATTTTAATGTTTGTATTAATGAGTAAACACGATAAACATTCTATTATCTCTCTCCATCCTCCCTTATATCTCCTTGTCTGTCTTCCTACCTGTCCCATATCTCTTTTACACTGTAACTTCTTATATTGCACAGTACTCATTACTCAATTCATAGTCAATTACATGAATATTATGCACAATTTGAGAGACCCATAATGTAAACATTACTGTGATGAAGACCCTAGAGAGAAGCTGCACAACCTATACATAGTCTGCACATCTTCGAGTAATTTCCTCAAATGTAGTGGATAGGAATAATACTGAATCAAGAAGTAAGGATTACTTTCTAGGAAAGGGGGATAACTTGTATTCTCATCAGCAGAACAGAGGAAAACTGATGTTTCAAAATCCTTTCCCAACATTATAAATTATTTTTCTAAAAATAATTTTCAAATAGAAAATCAATAAAGGTTGTCTAAGTAAATTTTACTAAAAGTTGATAATTTTTATATAATACTTTTGGAATGACTGATAATTTCTATGGTGGTAAATCTTCCTGTATTAGAATACATTTTGTCTACACTGCTTCTTTATGTTCCTTAATAAGTTTATAATTATAGTCTTATATGTGTCTGTCTTTATAATGTTTAATACATTTTAATGACTATTTCTGATACTATAAATTTTTCATTTACATTTTTTAACTGCTTATCAGTACAGAGAATTACTTTTTAAATTCATTTTGGGAGAGTATAGTAGAGGGTTTTATTTCTATAAATATCGACTTATTTTTTAAAAAGTCTTCTACCTGGTGTTTTAATTATAAGTAAAAAATTTTATTTCAAATTTAAAAATAATTATTTTTTCTTCTATGATATTCTATTCTATTATTCACATCATCAAAAATCTCCAAATGAATGTTAAATCATATGTTAAATATATCTTATTTAACACAATTATTTTCACAATTCCTTGAAATGACTTTAACATTTAAATGATTAACATGAAAAATAGTGGCTTTTCGAAGTAGTTCTTTAATCATATGCAAAGTATTTCTTTCTATTTTGGTTATTTATTATTATTACTAGCTTCTGAATGATAACAAATACATCTTAAACATATTTTGGCTATATTATAATTTTATTTTGTTATGTTGAAACATCAAATTATATACCTAGATTTTCTGCTATCAAGTCATTTCTGACTTGCTATACTAAATTATTCTAGGGATGATCTTATTCTCTTATGCTGAATATTTCACAAGTTTATATAATATTTTCAGTTATGTACTTATTAGTAAATTTACAGTAAATTTATTAGTAAATGATGTATTTACTAGTAAATTACACATTAGTAAATTTGTACAATTTCAATAAGATTCTAGCATTACATATGTCAGCAATATTCAATTTATGTTTCTCTCTAAGTCTAGTAGAGAAGAGGTAGAGGGTGAAGACAGAAGGAGGAAAAACAAGGCAGTGAGGAGTGGTCAAAGTCTATTACGTGCATGTTAGATACCACAACACACCCCACTACTCTGTATAACTAAGAAGCACTAATACATTTTTTTCTATGGGTTGGATATGCAAAACATTACAGTGATTTATTATTTTTATTTTGTACCGGGGACAGCGATTTATTCTTTACAGGGTAGATCAAATCCATTAAACTATTTGGTATTTACACATGTGGGACTTATTTATTTCACTTAGGAGTATATCTTCAATATGTATCCATTTTCCTATGAATGAATCTATTCTCTCGCTCTTTATGGCTGAGTAATATTCCATTTTATAGAAAAACCACATTTCAATAAGATTCTAGCATTACATATGTCAGCAATATTCAATTTATGTTTCTCTCTAAGTCTAGTAGAGAAGAGGTAGAGGGTGAAGAAAGAAGGAGGAAAAACAAGGCAGTGAGGAGTGGTCAAAGTCAATTACGTGCATGTTAGATACCACAACACACCCCACTACTCTGTATAACTAAGAAGCACTAATACATTTTTTTCTATGGGTTGGATAAGCAAAACATTACAGTGATTTATTATTTTTATTTTGTACCGGGGACAGCAATTTATTCTTTACAGGGTAGATCAAATCCAATCACCATATTTTCAGGTTTAAGATCTATTATTGAGTGCAATACGCTGATATTTGGACTTTGACTTCACCTTGGATCTGAGAATATCTATGTACACTCTTAAATTTTTATGTAGTTACACTATTTTTAAGTAGTACAGGTTTTTTACTAATTAGATGAGGTCATATTAGTCAGTGTTTCATCTCTGGCACAAAATACCTCATACCCCCCAACTTAAACAAACAGAGGTTTTTTTGGCTCACAGTGTCTTCTAAGTTTAGTTCATTAGTTGCTGGCTCCGAGGCAGAAACTGTAGGGTAGAGAAAAGCTGCTCAAGCTATGGCACCCAAAGCAGAGAAAGCGAGAGGCAGAGGGTGGACCATCTTTCCAGCTCACACCCCAGGGACCTGCCTGCTCCAACCAGGGACACTTTACATCTAACTACAATAGCGGTGGTGATCTTTTAAAATGTATACTTTTTGGATTTACTTCAGTTTTGTTGAAGTAAAATTCATAGCATATGAACTATAGTAAAGTACATTATTCAGTGGCATTCAGCACATTCTCTACATTTTCTTACCATGTATTTGTCTCATCCCCATGTATTTTTCATTGCCCCACAGAGAAACTCTAAGCCCTAAACAGTTACTGTCTTGGGGCTGGGGATTTAGCTCTTGGCCCCATACCTGTCTTGCAAGTGCAAGGTCCTGAGTTCAATCCCTGGTACCAGGGGGAAAAAATTACTTTTTAATCCCCCTTTCCTGTCTCAAAAGATTATTTTGGAATCGTTGTACATAAAGTGACCCTGGGATATGTAAAGGGTGGAAGTCATTTTTTCTTCTAGATCTAAATGAAAAAAAGTGGTGGCCAGGCGGGGCAACCACATAGTGAGTTTTACCATGGTACAGATTCATAGCAAGATTTGCCTATTGGCGTGCCACTGGACTTATCTGCATTCCAGAGGCTTGATGGAGGTGGCTAATTTGAGTAATTTGAGCAGGCTCTGAGCATATAGGTGTCCCCACTTGTTTGGGACTTATTCCTGAGGAGAAGATAAGTAAGTAGTGGCCCAGGGTGTGATAGGCCACTCATTAACGGTGTAGACTCAATGCACTGCAATAACCAGTTCTTAGGCTGGGCCTCAGTTTTATCTCTGCTCTAATCTTTATCACTCCCTTTCTCCTTTTGAGTTTAACATTCTCTTCATTGTCTAATTTCATGCTGTAAATAATTAAATTATTGATAGGAAATCTTTTCTTTAAATGCAAATGTTTACAGCTAAGAATTTCCCTATAAACATTACGTCCCACAAGTGTTGGTAGGCTTTGTTTTTAATTTCCTTTAATTCATACTTTATTTATGATACTTTTATTATATTCATTTTATAAGTGAAGAAACTGAGGTGCAAAGGCTTAAAAAACTACCTAAACTGTGAATTTGTTGGGATTTGTACACACAGACTCATGTTTCAGCCCTGTGATCTGGAACAATATTCTGTCACACTTTTCTACAGCCTGAAAGTATTACTGTGTCTCTTTGAGGAGGTATTTGGTCATCTTAGTGTGCGTAAGTAGGTTTTTTTATTCTTGAGATTTGTCAGTTTTACTCATTTTCTAAGCAAAAAAATATGTTTTATTTTTCTAAAATATCACTATTCCTCCACCTTATTGCAAGTTTTCGCATTTTGGTTGCACAATATTTATAATCTTTCTTAATAGCACCTCAATTGCATTATGGGAATTACTTTCCCTTGTATTCTACACCAGAGTAGATAATTTCTTATCAGGGTTCCTGGCTCCCACCACAGAATTCAAGAAGGCGGGGGTCTCAATCACTCTGATGTCTGGGATAGCGAGAAAGTGGCAGGCTGAATTAAGGC